TAAATTTTTAATTACTGGGGTCAACTAACGATTTTGATGGTCAAAGAGGCGGAAATTGTCATTTGGACTGCATCTGCTAATTTCTTCAAAGATTTGGTACCCCCGATAACACAATTAAAGATTTGAACAAAGTGTGCTAATAAGCGAAAGATTGCTATGATTTTTTCTTGGAAATATTACGAGGTCAAAGTTAGACTCAAGTCAAATAATTGACCAGATGATCAAACCTGAACATGGGGTCACATCTATACATATGTCCAATTGATTGATAGAGTAAAGTCCGTACGAACAAATTCTTTTTCATTATGGCAAACAGAATGGAACAAATAGTAAACCCTGTTCAGTGAATTATCTCAAAACAAGGGATCCTTTAGTTAATTAAAAGTCAAAAATCCAAATTTGACCAGGTTTGGCCATGTACCTAGAATACTTTTATGTTGCTTATACTTTAAATTCTAAAATTTGTTTGGTTTGATATTTTTAAAAATTATTATTGAAAATTAAATTAAATATATAACATAAAACACAAATTATATGTTTGGCATTTCAAGTATTTTCCATGAAAATACTGAAAAACTTAAACATGAAAAATAAAATTCCATTCCTCACTTTAAAATAAAATATGAAAAAAAAAAAAAAAAAAAAAAAAAAAAAAAAACACACCAAAAATAGGCCCCTAATGGTCTTGGGCCTGAGGCAGAGACCAGTGCCAGGACAGTGCTTTCCAAGAACAGTGAATGCGCAAGAACTTTAGCACTTCCAAGTGAATCATCATAGCTCATTGTAAGCCAATACTCATTAGATGCTGGCTGTTAAAAACAGTTTTTGTAGCCAATTATTTGCTACCACCACAATATATGCAAACAATTACGACAAACAATTCTGTACAAATAGATAAATCTTTGAATCGCTGTGCGGAATGTGCAGTCCCTTATTTAAAATAATGTTATTTAAACCATACTTAACTGGTCCAATCAAATAAATCACGTGACATTACATTTAAATAATCCATTTAATTACATGTAATTATTATCTAAATTGATATTTAGCACCATAGTAAAATTGCCCTACACATCAAACATTACTTTATTGTTTTTGTATAATATAGACGTTTTACACTGGGAAATAAAAAAATTAAAGATTCTCCCTTTTACCCCTCGCCTCCAGTGCAATGTCTAAACCAGGATTAGATAAAAAATCTCAGGTTACACAGCTTTCCAAGACTCAAGAGTTGGAAAGCTGAAAAAGGAGTCATATTCAAAGCCACCAGCACCGGACGGAGACGGGGGAACATTGCCCGCCGGTAGCTCAACAGATTGAAATGAAGTGGACCCCACTTGGCCCAGCAAGAAAGCTGAGGTGTCAAGGGTTGGCAAGCACCCACCATCCTGCATGTGATTCATAGCTCTTTGCGGCAGCGGCTGCGGCTTCAGCACTTGTGCCGCTGGATTTAAACCGCCGAATCTCAACCCCGTCACCTGCTGGACCATCTGCCTGAAATTCGCCGCATCAGCCGTGATAAACGTCGTTGCCGCCGCCCGCTTCGAGGTACGTGACTTTCTCTTCGTGATCTTCCCAGCCGGCGCTTCAAAACGGCTTTTCGCAAACGAAACTCCACTTCCTAAACCACCTGCCACCGTGGGTGTCTGCACCGGCCTTAATTCGGGACTAACCAGAAAAGATTCAACTGTACCCGTTGAAAAATCATGACTAGAGTCATCATCAATTGATGGATTTGTGAACGATTTCTTCAAAGCTTTTGTCAGTGCTTCTGTTTCTTTATTAGAAAAGATATCGAAAAACCAAGAATCGGAAAGTGTTGAACGAAACGGCGGCCATGACTTTTCCATCGCCATTAAATTCTCAGAAGAGGCCATTTTTGAAAATACCCTGTGTTTCTTCCAAAACAAAAAACGAATCAACAAATAAAACCCAACATTTTCGTGAAGAAAAGAAACAATTAGTTCATGAAATGAAGGAAAATACCTTCTAAGGTTGGGGGTTAAAGAATGATAAGAGTGGGGAGGAGATGGGCAGAGGTGAGAGCAGAATAAATAAGGCGGTGGCGGGTTAAGGAGGTTAACTAACCATGGTTTAATTACAGGGATTATATTATACGTACATCAGACTGTCCATAAAAATATCCACTCCCGTGTGAAGAGGGTTCACTTCGAATAAATTAGGATGATGTCACACGTACATCTCAAAGTGTCCATAAATGTGTTCATCCCCACATGAAGGGGGTCCACTTTCAAAGTGAGTCCCTTTGTGTGAGAACATCGTATTATGTACAAATAGCGTATCCTTAATTACAGTTGAGTGACGAAATCACAGCCCAGTACACTGTTTTGCTTTGACGCTCAAGCAGAGTCGTCGGCTCCTATTTGTATTGATTCCCTCCAGCGGATGCCAGTTTTCGGTGAGAAATTAATGATTAGTCAAAATTCTAGAAACTTGTTTTTTCATTAATGTCTAACGACTTATTAGTTAATAGTCAACCTAGAAAAATTGGTAATATTCCAGTGAGTGAATTATCCAAATGATTATTGAAATTTGTAAAAAAAATTTATAGGGTTACTGAATTTTTAAAATCGTCAAATTCATTATTGAACTTTGTAAGAAAATTCACGGGTTCATTGAACTTTAAAAATCACCTCATTTATCATTGAATTTTACAAAATATTTTTACGGAATCACTGAATTTTGCAAAAGATTTTTCGTGGATCACTAAATTTAGTGATCCCTTGGAAACCTTTTACAAAATTCAGTGATGGATTTAGTGATTTCTAAAGTTCAGTGATCTCGTGGAAATCTTTTACAAATTTCAGTATGAATTTGATGATTTTTAAAGTTCAGTGACCTTGTGAAATTTTTTACAAAGTTCAGCGATCATTTTGGTAATTCAATCATATTTCAGTAGAAGAAAAAATAACAAAAGAATCATGCTATGCGCCCCACCTATACTAGGGGGACAGGTGTCCCCCTGAGAGCGTACAGGGTCAAATGGAATAATCCTTAACCAAATTAGTAGTCAAGTCCTTTTAAATGATATTAATAGTTGCATCACGATTTTAATAATATTTGTAAAGTGTTATTCATAAAAATTCATTAGAGTTGAAATTGGAATTGGAACAATGAACCCTATTCTTTTTCTTGGCGTTGAAAATATTTGTTGATATTTTCGATTAAATCTTCTAGAGGTGGTTGGAAGAGAGCCTCAATTGATAGAAAAAAATTCACAAATTTTCTTTAGATTACACTTTGTAATAATAAACCCTAGTTTAAGTTTAGGAGGTAATGGATTTATCATCACCCATTAAACAAATAATCAAGGAACTTACTGGAATAATGCTATTCGCAGTAAAGACTACCAGCAATTGTTCTATGTGGCGTACACTTGGCTATTTTTCATTTGTTTTATAATTCAAAAAATAACTACCATATCTATGTATCAAATACCAAATTACTAAGTGTAAATACCAAATTGTTAAGTGTATGTCACGTAGGGCAACTACTAGCAATCTTCACTATGAATAGCATTACTCAACTTACTGCTATCTAAATTGGAGATTATTAGTAGTGACTAATAACATTTATTCATTTGCTTTTCTACTAATAATAAGAGTTATGCCATTTTACCAAATTACTTTACTAGAATCATTGTTAGAATAAGTTGGCAATTTATGATTGGATGGTTGGAGTATGTTTGTGGCCCAACTACAATAAATGTTGCCAAGTGCTAATCTGACATAATTTTGATAAAATCAATCTGGTAATGTAGCATAACTCTAATTGTAATATTAATGTGATATTTATTTTTATTTTAGATTAAATCTTGAGATATGAAAGTGTAAGAAGAGAAGGGAGCAAATTTCTAAAAATATGAAATCACTTTCAAAAAATTCATTCTTTCATGATCAAAGTTTAAACTGCTTAAGTTATGAAGTGGTTTGAACTTAGAACAAAGAATTGTAAAAAAATATCATATTGTCACACTTGGTATGATAGATGTAAATACTAAAGGTTTGTTTGAGCCTACTTTTTTGAAAAATGTGTGATTAAAAAGTACAATTTTTTTTTTAGTTTTTGTAAAATTATTGTATTGGGAGGATGTGTGATTCAAAATGAATTTTAGGAAAATGAAACTCAAAAATGGACTAGATGGATCCCATATAGTGCCAAGATTAACAATGAAATTTCCAACATTCCCAACAACATTTTGGCTAAAAAAATTTAAAATTTTGCCAAATGAAGTAAAAACATCATATATTTCAAATTTTGAAGAGTGAAAGTTAACTTGCTTTCAAAAAGATGCGAGTCTTCACTTATGACATCGATTTCATATCTTTTCAATTTATGCATTACAATTTTTACCTTACAAAAGTTGTACTACAATTCTTTCAAATAAATAGTAAATAATAATTGTCTGAGGTATTTTGCTACTTGTAACATTGTATTTAGCTATTAACGGTGCATTCATTCTGTCAAACTGTATGTACAGATTTTTTGTACATATAGCAAAATCTTTGAGCCTCTATTGACATTTCATCTACAAAAAAATTTCAAAAAAAAAAAAAAAAAAAAGAGATGAATAATAAGGTGTATGTATATCTTCAAAATAAATTATTAAAAGTTTAAGAGTCTATTTGAGCCTCAATTTTTTTGCCTAAAATGTATTTCGAAATTGTATTTAAATGGAGAATGTGTGGTTAAAAAAATAAGAAACAAAATTGGTTTAAAAAAATAAGAAATAAAATTGGTTTACATGTGACATTATTTTAATAAAAAAATGTGATTAAAAATAAGATAAGAAAAATATATTTTAAAATAGTGGAACCAAACATGAGCTAAATAAAATGATAAGCGTAGGAACCAATGGCTTAAAATTATTGAACCACAGATAAGGATAGGCGAGAGAAATGGAAGGGCCTCTCCCTCTCCCTCTTTTTAATTTTTATTTTTTTCTCTCGAAGAAAAAAATTGGTAACTCAGGAAGGTATATGACATCATCTTGACACTTGCATGGACTAGGAATGATGCGGGAAGTGATGTGATTAATCATTAACGATTATTATTAAATAAAGCGTAATGCTATTTAACCCCACTGAAATTACAACCCCAATTTATGTGGCATTAATGTAATATTAAATGATAAATAGAATTAAATAAATAATCTAATTTT